AAGTATATTTTCAATAATAATCACATAAGATATCAAACCTCGTTAGTAGTCTTTCCTGTAGTTTAAACCACGTTCGTATGTTCATCAATATAAGTTCAGGGCTTTGAACTTGAATTTTTAAAGCGTACGTACGAACTGAATCGGAGGTTTGTGTGTTTTGTCAAGGTGTGTTTGTCTGTTGTTGTCAAGGTGTGTTTATGTGTTGTTGTCAAGGTGTGTGTCTGTGGGTTTTTGTCAAGGTGTTTCGTTACTCGTGTATTATCCTTAGATTTTTTTAAAAGAAACCGATCCTATTGTAAAACAATGTTTGATTGTAATTTATGCCCTCCGTTTGATTTCAAGATTATTAGAACAATGGAAAAAGGTAAAAGTTACTGAACAGATGACAATCTCTATAGAAAGTTGTATTATTCGCATGTGTTACTTCATCTCCACGTTATCTAACTCATGCACCATAAAATTACCATGAAATGTGCGTGAGGATATGATATCCATCACTAAAACGCCCAACGCCCAACATAATGTGCATTTCCCAAAACCAAGGCATATCTCATGCTCATTTAATACACGTGTTTAAATTGTCCAAATGAACATCAGAGTCTAATAGAAGGAAAGGGGTCTAAACGAACCTCAGAGTCTAATAGAAGGAAATGGATATAAACGAACCTCAGAGTCTAATAAAAGGAAAGAGGTCTAAGCGAACCACAGAGTCTAATAGAAGGAAAGGGGTCAAAATGAACCTCAGAGTCTCATAGAAGTAAATGGGTCCAAACGAACCACAGAGTCTAATAGAAGGAAAGGGGGTCTAAATGAGCCCCAGAGTCTCATACAAGTAAAGTGGTCCAAAACGAACCTCAGAGTCTAATAGAAGGAAAGAGTCTAAACGAACCACAGAGTCTAATAGAAGGAAAGAGTCTAAACGAACCACGGAGTCTAATAGTATTCACTGTATTGTATTGAACAAAATGGTTATGCCGCCCGTGCTCGTCATTTTCTCGGTTATCTGGTCCGCTGTGAAAAAATGTTGGTGACCCCTGTATTGAGAGATAAGTGAACTTCAAAATATTTTTTCTTAATTTATTCTCCATCTATTGACAGATAAGAACTTCCAAGTATTTTATCCTAATTTTTTCTCCATCTATTGAGAAATAACTGAACTTACAAGTATTTTTTCTTAATTGTTTCTCCATCTATTGAGAGATAACTGAACTTCCAAGTATTTTTTCTCCATCTATTGAGCTATAACTGAACTTCCCAGTACTTTTTCTCCATCTATTGAGATAACTGAACTTCCAAGTATTTTATGCTAATTTTTTCTCCACCTATTGAGAAATAACTAAACTTACAAGTTTTTTCTTAATTGTTTCTCCATCTATTGAGAGATAATTGAACTTCGAGTATTTTTTCTCCATCTATTGAGAGATAATTGAACTTCCAAGTATTTTTTCTTAATTTTTCCTAACATAGATACCACAGCTGAAAGTAAACATAATCTATTTTTGGATTAATTTGGAGGCCAGCGAAGCTGGAACGGTCCCTCCAGGACGGTACATGTACCCCGGAGCACTGGACCAACGTTTGGGGAGACTTCCAGAACCCACGCTTTCCAACTTCACCCCGGGTTACTGTATGTGCATACAATCATAACCCCTTGCTGGGGTCAGAGGATTAATGGGGAGGACATCATATGGATCCCAGGCCATGATATATGATACCACGCATGCACATACAGCTCCAGGCTCGGCCCCACTGAAGATTTGAAAGAAAGAACACCGCTATATAATGTGTTGATTTGATGATTAAGAAACTGGTGTTATTAAACTAAGACATCAATAATATGTATGCAGATATTTCACTTGCTAAAACACTTTGGCTGCTTGATACATTGAATATTAAATTAGTTAATTCTTTATTTATTTACTTATTTTTAGCGAAATTTGTTTGTCAGATATCATTATTGTGAAGTGGAAAGTCCCAAACTGTCGTAATTAACATAAAAAAAACATTATGTCCTGCCATCTAGCGACGGTAAGCGAAACTATTATGAAATGTAGAAATAATTCTCCTGAGTAGTGGTTTTCCTTTTTGTTATTTTCTCACAAAATCGCGAGTAATAAGAGAAGATAATAATATTGCTCTTATATACAAATTGGGCGGGCAATTTTTTCACATCTTGCCTGTCTGTCAGGCGAAATAATTTTTATCTTAACATTAAAAATACTTTTATGCATTACAAAATTTCGAACTTTCATATGCGAAATTTTTATAATGTCCAAACAGTCACCAAACGTTTCCTAAGAGAAAACTTTATATTTTATATATTGTCTTCAGTAATCGATTTCTGTTTGGATCCGGAGAATTTGAACTATCTCGCAACCACCATAAGAATTATGAAATAACCATAAATTATGCATCTTTCATTCTGTAATGAACACAAATGGATTTAAATTGATAGTTATTGGACGAGCAACAGGACGTGTTTGTTGTGCAAGTATAAGATAGAGACAGTACATACTTCAATTGTATCTTAAGTAAAGGTTCTAAGTAATACTTCAGTACAGTCTTCATCTATTGAGAGATAACTGAACTTCCAAGTACTTTTTCTCCATCTATTGAGAGATAACTGAGCTTCCAAGTACTTTTTCTCCATCTATTGAGAGATAAGTGAACTTCCAAGTATTTTTTCTCCATCTATTGAGAGATAATTGAACTATCAAGTATTTTTTCTCCATCTACTCAGAGATAAGTGAACTTTCAAGTATTTTTTCTTAATTGTTTCTCCATCTATTGAGAGATAAGTGAACTTTCAAGTATTTTTTCTTAATTTGTTCTCCATCTATTGAGAGATAACTGAACTTCCAAGTATTTTCTCTTCATCTATTGAGAGATAATTGAACTATCAAGTATTTTTTCTTAATTTTTTCTCCATCTATTGAGAGATAATTGAACTTCCAAGTATTTTTTCCTAATTTTTCTTCATCTATTGAGAGATAAGTGAACTTCCAAGTATTTTTTCTTAATCTATTGAGAGATAAGTGAACTTCCAAGTATTTTTTCTTAATTTTTTCTCCATCTATTGAGTTATAAC